GTATTTTTTCCTTGACTTGAGAGATCTGGAATTTGGCTATCATATTCCTGTGAGTTTTTACTTTGGGATCTTTTTCAGAAGATGATCAGTGGATTTTTTCAATTTCTATTTTAGCCTCTGGTTCTCGAATGTCAGGGCAGTTTTTTCTTGATAACTTCTGAAATATGTTGTCTAGGCTCATTTTATCATGGCTTTTAGGTAGTCCAATAATTCTTAAATGTTCTCTTTTTTTATCTATTTTCCAGGTCAGTTATTTTTCTGATGAGATATTTAACATTTTCTTCCTTTATAATTTTTAATTTTTGTTTTATTTTTTTTCTTGATGTCTTATGGAGTCATTAGCTTCCACTTGCCCAATTCTAATTTTGGAGGAATTATTTTCTTCAGTGAATTTATGTACATATTTTTTTTTTCACTTAGCCAGTTCTGCTTTTTAAGAAATTCTTCTCTTCAATGAATTTTCGTGCCTCTTTTACCACTTGACCTATTTTTCAGTATTTTTGTGCTTTCTTTACCAAGCTGTTGATTGGTTTTTTCTTCATTTTCTTGCGTTATTCTCATTTCTCTTCCTAATTTTCCCTACCTCTCTTAATTTATTTTATTTTTTGAGTTATTTCAAGAGTTCTTTTTGGGCTTGAGACCAATTCATATTTTTTCTTTGAGGCTTTGCACGTAACTGTTTTGCTTTAATTTTCTTCTGAGGTTATGTTTTGACCTCTTCAGTCACCACAGTAACTTTCTATGGTCAGGTTCTTTTTTATTTTTTTGATCATTTCTCGAGACAATTTCTTGACTTTTGACTTTAACTGAATGTTGGGCTTTGCTCCAGGAATGGAAGGGGCTGATCTAAGCTTTAGGTTTTTTAATCTTGTCATTTTCAGATCTAGTTCTGAGGGTCTGTATATTTTCTGTTCTTTCAATATGGCATGATCTAAGGAGAGCTGTGGTCACTGCTCTCCTGGCCTATTCTCTGTTCTGTGAGGGACCAGAAACATTTTTCCCATCCCAGAACTGTGACAAGGGATTCCGTTCCTTATAGGGTTCCTCCTTGCCCTGGAACTGCAACCTGGACTCATGTACGAGAAATGCAACGTAGTCCTACACCCAGTGCGTCGAAGGATCCCTGTAATCTCCTTATAACCAGTCATCTAACACTTTTACCATCTGTGCATCGAACCTCCAGAATTCACCTCTGTAGATTTAGTCACCCCTAAGACCTGCTGCTAGCTTGCTGGCCTCAGCCAGTATTGGTCTGCGTTTCACTCTCACCCCAGTGAATCAGATCTTTCCTGATGACTTTGTGAATTGTCTTGGGCTGGAAAATTGTTTCACCTCATCCTTTTGTTGGTTCTGCTACTCCACAATTTGTTTTGAGGAGTTATTTTAAGGTTGTTTGGTGAGGACTTTGGGACAGGTCCAGTGAGTGAGTGCCTGCCTTTACTCCACCATGTTGGCTCTCACCAAGCTATGGAGTCAGAGGATATTGTTTTAAACCCCAACTGTGAGATCTTGGAGAATTCACTTAATGGCTATGATCTCAGTTTCTTCATCTGTAGCAAGAGAGGATTGCGGTAAATCAGCTCTATGCTTTTAGGTTCTAAATCTGTGAGTCAATAACCCTGTAAGTACTCAATATTTAAAAAGCACTGTAACACAAGGCAGGTACTGGAACAGGAACATAATACAATATAATATACAGTTCCCTACTCTCATGAAACTTAATCTAAGAAGGGGATATAACATATGCAAATAACGAAAGACTAAATAATATCTAATATGTATATCAGAGAGGCGCAAATGAAGATGGATTCTAAAATAGAAAGATTGATTCTAAAAAAGAAAGATTGATTCTGACTGTTATGGATCAGGAAAGGTTTTAAGGAAGGAACTGAGGTTCTTAGAATCATAGATTTGGACCTCAAAACAACTTCAGAAGTGTCTAGTCCAACCCCCTAATTTTGTAGGTGAGAAAAGTGAGGCATAGACATATTATTTATCTGATGTCTTAAAGGTAGTAATTGGAAAAGCCAAGATTTAAACTAATTTCTTTTGACTCTAAACCAGCACTCTTTACTCTGCACCACAAACCTACACTACTAAAAATTACTCTGTTTTCTTGGTGTGTACATTTTACTCCTTGAAAGAACTTAAACAAGTCACTTCACTTGACTTCTTTAACTTAGACATGACCTAGTTTAACTTTTGCTTTTAATTTTATTGAGAAGAAACTGAAGTCTAGAGAGAGGGAAAAGGACTTGCCCATGGTGAGTCAGTAAATATTCATTCATTCATTCATTCATTTGTTCATTTATTTGTTAGCAGCTCTTTTATTGGGAAAGAGTAAAATGATTCTGCTCTGGGTTCTGGGGGAGAGATATAGTCCAGTCAGCCCAGCCTAGCATGGCTATCCAATAGTGGCTTCCTCTGCCTTTGGGCAGTATCAGCTGGCCACTTCCATATCAGATGTCTCAGTGGATACATCTGTGGACACTGCCAACCACCTAGAGATCACATAAGATCTCATGCCTGCCACCAGTTCTGCTTCTTCCTGACTGTAGGGTTCTACTGTCAGTTGCTTCAGCCTTTTTTGTGATCTTTGGACTTCAAATGCTTCTTAAGGCTGGCAGTATCAATGAAGTATCTCATGCAGGCCAGGGAGTGGTGGGGGCTGCCTCCAGGCAGGTCGGGGTTCAGCTCGGTGTCAGGTTGGGGCCGGCACTATCAGTGAATCTCGTCCAGGTCTGGCCTCCGCCACTTGGTCTTCAGCTGGCTGGCCAGGGAGTGTGTTAGATGTGTGCTGATTGCGCTAGGAGCGGGGGATGGCCTCTGCTGGGGGCTAAGGCTAGACGTATATTTATTAAGCACCTACTATGAATTCAGGGACTATGCTAAAGGCTGGGAATACAAAGAAATGTAAAAAAGACTGTCCCTAATTTCACATAGCTAACAGTCTAGTAGGAAAGATAGCATGCTAGCAAATATGTACAAATAAGTTATCCATAGGATCAATTTGAAATGATCATCAGAGAGGAACATTTTCCTGACAAACTTCCTTTTATCTTCATAAAACAATACAAATCTCAGTGCTTCCATTTCTTCAGTGCCTAATTTCATAAATCAAGGTCTGTAACTTGTGCAAACCCATTTTTAAACAATTGTAAGGGATGAGAAAAAGTACGGCTTGTCAGCACTAAATACTAAAACCATAAACATTTCTTGTTCAATTTATATTTAAATATTGAGTTCTTAACCTGTGGTCCATAAATCTCCAATGGGTCCATAGATAAATGTCAGTGGGTCTATGACCTTGGATGAGAAAATAAAAATTATATTTTTATTCTCACTAATATCTAACTGAAATTCAGTATGTTCCTCAATTATTTAGAAGATACTCTGAAAAGAGGTCCATAGCCTTCACCAGACTGTCAACAGGGTCTGTGATGCACAAAAAGTTAAAAAGCATTAATTTATAATCAAGAATCACTAAAAGGTATATTTGAAAATCAAAATGAAATTTTATTTGTAATATACACAGGTATATGTATACAAATATACATGTATGTGTGTACACACATATGTGTATATATAAGCACCTAAATTTGTATGCATCTGTGTGTATGTGTATATATGTGTATATGTGTGTATACATATATACATATATCAAGTGAGAAATCTATATATGTAGACTTTACCTATAGGGATTAAGAGAGGAGTAGACTAGGTGAAAGAAAATCTCTTTTCAAGTAGAAGACAATCTTTATTAGAGACTCCAAACTAAACAGGACTCCACTGTTAAAATAATAGAGTCTTTGCCTAGCAAAGGATTCCAAAGGTATGAAGGGAGGGAAGCAAGAAAGGAATAAGATTTATAAGGCATCTAATATGTACCAGGCACTGAGTTAAATGCTTTACAAATACTAACTCATTTGATCTTCCCAACACCTCTGTGAGGTAGATGCTACTATTATCCCCATTTTACAAATAAGGAAACTGATGCAGACAGAGATCAAGTGACTTGCCCAGGGTCACAAGTTCCTAAGTGTCTAAGTCTGAAATGTTTTTAAATTTTTCAATCTTTCAATTCAAAATGTTTTCCTTTCCTCCACCCCTCCCCCACTCATGGAGAAAGCAAGAAATATAATGCCCATTACACATATGAAGTTATGCTAAACATTTATCAATATTAGTCATGTTGTGGAGTAGAGGGGAAGAAAGTAACATAAAGTGAAAAAAAATAAGCTTCCATCTGCACGCAGAGTTCCTTCTTTCTCTCACTGCAGGTAGGAAGCATTTTTTTCATCATGAGTCATTAGGAATTGTCTAAGGCTGGATTTGAACTCGGGCTTTCCTGACTCCAGCACCCTATCTGCTGGGTCCAGCACCCTATCTCCAGGTGCAGCACCTATCTACTATACCAATTCCCTACGAGAACTTGAGGTTACTTTCTAGGAAACTGTGGTTGGAGCTGAAAGCAACTCCAGAGGCATCTAATCTAGCATTTGACTGGAATTACATATTCCAAGAGTTTCACCTGTCTTCCTAGCCTTCCCTTGGCTGGCTCCCCAAGGTTGAAGGAAATCATTTGGGACAGCCCTAGAAGCCCCAGGCCTCTTTAGGGCCTGGAAGGATAAAAGAATTGCCTGGGGAGGGCCTAGATTGATAAGAAAATAAAAGCTCCAGTCTTACAGCTGTTTCTGCCAGAGTGGGCCTCCCCAGAGGGCCAGGGTTTTTTCCAGCTATACCCTCCAAGCTGGAGTCCAATTCCAATTTGGGAAACCAGGTGAGTCACAGGGCATAGTTGGGGCCAAGGCTGGCTTAAAAGGCAGTGCAATTTCAACACTGACATTAGTTGTGTATGTGATCAAATTCTCCTTTTTCTCCCTCTGCCAAGAAATGTAATGCCATGGTTTCCTTCCATCCCATCATCTAAATTTCTTCTCCAGAAAGACAATCTTCTCTTCTAGAGATTTATCAAGCCTTGACTGGACACCAGGCACACACTCTCTTCTCTCCTGCCATATTCGAAGTAGCTACCACCTCACCCCCAGCAAGAAGAATGGCAAGCCTGGGAATTAATGTGAGTCTTCACCTTTCATGGAAGAATTAAATACATTTAGGTATATTTATGAGAAGAATACTCTGCTCTGCTGGAGTCTCAGGCTCTGTGTTCACTCTGTTTCATATCATAAAGTATGCCATCTTAGGTCCTTCTCTGCCATCATACATTCTACCCCTTTTTCAGGGCAAAGCTAAATCAACAAAAGTTTCTCGGATATCACTTAATCACACACTGTCACTGTGTCACTAAGCCAGAGGGAAAGTTGCAATTTAGACCTTGCGTGAATGTAGAATGACATCTCTTAAAGGAATTTCAGATGGTAAAAGTTGAATGGCAGACATTCCTGATATTCCTGAAATCATGTTATAAGTGACTATCTTATAACACCAAAGGGTGGGATGCACACACACTGTTTGATGATGGACAAGTCACTTCACTTGTACCTCATTTTTCACCTCTAAAATGAAAGGCTAAGATGAGATGACCTATAAGTTCTCCTCCAGTTCTAAGATTCTAACCTATATCTATGACCATTTCACGGGTTCATCCTGCTCTGCTTTGTTGGTGCCAAACTCTTTACTTGAAGTTCCCCATACATGATATTACATCTCCTACCTCTATAGCTTTGCCCAATCTGTTGCCCAGACCTAGAATAATATCCTACATAATTTCAGCTTTTTGAAATCCCCAGCACTCTTTAAGGTTTAGCTCAAGTGCCATCTCCTACTAGAATCTCTTCCTGATTCAAAGCTATTAATCCTTGGCTTCAAAAAGTAAATATATTTTATATTTGGTTTGTGTTTACTCATCTGTGTACATGATGCTCTGTTACCCTGCCCCAAAAGATATTATTTTGATTGAAATTGAACATTGCAAGAGTAATGGGCACAAAGTCTTGACACCTGGGAGACTTTCAATAAATATTTGCTGAATTAAAGTGAATTGAAGGGAAATGAAGAGAAGGAAATGGAATTGTGCCCTGCTGCCCTTGATCCTACATTTTTTTCTCACGCAAGGAGATGGAGACTCCTTCTCCAGGAATATGAAGTTTTCACTGCTAACCTTGCCAAGTAAGCAGCTTCATTTCCTATTCCTGCTATTAATGGAATGTAAGTGGGCCTTTTAGTTTGAAGGAGACTGTGGGGAGGGATGGGAGAAATCCAGGGAAACAGATCTAGGTTTTAATTCCAGCTCTCCTAAGCCCACTAATACACTGTGCGTATTTAAACAAGTCCCTTGGCTTCTCTGAGGTTCAGGAAAAAAAATTAAGAATCCCTGCCCAGCTTCTCATGGAGTTTTTTATAAGGCTCTAATGAAGTAATGGGTGTTCAAATTCTTCTTTAAAAAAGAGGCACTACTCAAATAAAAAGGGTTATTATTATTATATGTAAATTATATGCAGATAGGTATTCCTAGATTTCTAGGGTACAATTTGATGTTTTGTCTTGGGAATACAAGGAAACCCCCCCCCCATTTTGTCAAGTATAGCTGTTTTATAAGGGATGACAAGAGTTCCTTTGAACTTTATCTCCTGCCTCATTTCTTTCTCTCTTGCCTGATCCCTGCTGTTGCTACCTTCCATTTGAAATTACTTCCTACTTACAATGTACATATTTTCTGTACAAAGTAGCAAAGGTTGTTAGGGGTCCTAGTGCTTGGCAAAAGTCTTCCATGTGAACCATGCCTCTATCAGGCTGTGGTGGTGGAGAAGGAGGCTGTATAAGCAGTGTAGACAGAAGGTACAGAGCACATATTTCTGAAGATAGACCTATACTCTATCTGAGGATTTACTTTTTTCATCCCTTGTACTTCCTTTCTTTCTTCTTCTTCTTCTTCCTTTCCCTTTCTCCGTTCCACATTTCCTTTTCTCTCCTTCCTTTTCTTCCCTTTCCTTCTTTTCCCATTTCTTTCTCTTCTCTTCCTCTGCTTTACACCCTGCTTTGCTCATATAGAAATTTTGTTTTCTTTCCAGAAAAAAAGTAATTAAAAGAAATAGTTTATTATTCTTAGCTCTTAAAGTAACTGGAGGATGTCAGTAAACCCTTACTAGGAAGGGAAGAATAACCACATAGTGACAGTAAATGAAAAGGAACCTTGGCTGAGTGGAATAGTTGAGAGACTTGGGCAGGACCAGAACATCTTATTGAAAACAGGAGAATCACTCAAGAGAGACCTAGCCAGTCCGAAAAGTAGAACCAGCTGACCATTTAGATACTTTTAAAGGTCCCTAATTTCCTCAGAGTAGACACTCCCTTTACTAACACCAGTAGCATCCATTTCATATTTTTTTTTATGAGATTCTCATCTAGATCGACCCATAGTAAAAGTAAACTGAAAACCAGACAGCCAAAGAGCCAGGAGATGCTTTTCAGTAGCCTCTAAAGCCAAGAAGTAAATGTTGCTTAAATCCTTTGTAGGATAGCTCAGGTGTTGGGATTATAGTTGAGGGATGTGGGGATGGGGTTTATTTAGATGAAAAGCTGAGCTTAAGAATGTCAGACAGAATGACGTACCAAACAGATTCTTTTCTTTACTGAAGAAAAGAGGGATATTTCTGTTTCCCAAGTCTCCCTCAAATCCATCAAATCAGAGGTGTCAATTCTTGTTTTCATCAAAGCCTAGGCTGTTCTAACCCTTAAATGGACAAACTAAATGCAGAGTAATGACCACATCACAGCCACACAAGTGTTCTAAAAAGGGTTTAAGGGAAATGTTGTCAGTAGTCATTCTGTCGCTACAAAAGGCCAGGGCTTGCTAAGGAGACCCAGATGCATTAAATAGGTAACTATAAACCAAGGAGTTTCATTCAAATGATGAGGCTTTTAGAGGGTAAAAGAGTGAGATCAACAGTCTCTGATGCCCCTTCTCCATATAATCAGTACATTATTCCTCCAGAGACCTTGGGCTGAGCACAGTATCTTATCATTTCTAAGCCTTACTACAGCTACCAAAGGAAAAAAAAACTTTTGAACAGGAACATTAAGTACTTTTCAATGGTCACATAGATAATTAACTTCAGAGATGTATTTTGAACTGAACTCCCATTACTCCAGAGTCAGTTCTCTTTTCACTGTGCAATACTGAGTATAATCTTTAAGGGGGAAATATAGATATTTAATGAAATAAAGAACTTTCAAGCATTCCTGATGAAAAAAGCAGAACTGAATAGAAAATTTCACTTTTAAATACAAGACTCAAGAGAAGCTTTTATAAAAAAGGCAAACAGGAAACAGAAATCGTAAAGGAGTCGATAAGGTTAAACTGTTTACACTACAATGGGAAGCTGATACTTATAATTTCTGAGAAATTTATCATTACTAGGGCAATTAAAAGGAGTTGATGAAAGCCAGGCAAAATGTTGGCCACTGGATGAAAGTAAAAAAAAAAGACTTTCCATAAGGAGCTTATCGACTATTACACTAAAGAGCTTGTGCACAGTCATGCACCCCCACCTACTCATACCCACACAATCACACTCATACACTCCAAACATACCCCTACAAGGACTTGAACATGATGCATGTGAATGTGTGTGTGTATATATATATATATATATATATATATATATATATATATATATATATATATATACACGCACACACATACATCTGTCTATCCATATATATGTGTGTATATATATATGTATATATATGTGTGTGTGTGTGTGTGTGTGTGTGTGTGTGTGTGTGTGTGTGTATGTGTATAAAACAATTAAAAAGTAATATAGGGAGGAAGCTGTAGTAGATGGTGGGGATCAGTAAAGGCTTCATACTATGAAATCTGATCTATTTGATTTACTCTCAGGGAAACCCACTCTCTTCCTTTCTCTCCCCTTCTCTCTCTTCTCCATTTCCCCCCAACTCCACCCCCACCTCAAAGGTGAATGGATCCTATGTTCTATGTCTATAAGTACTTAGCAAAATCTGCTGGGTTTGCATACTTTCTGATGAGCATGATTGACATTGACCATGACCTGAGCTCCCCAAACCTCCACTCAGTGGACCGGTATTCAAAACTCATACCCACCCTGACTGCTACCAGTTGTTTAAGGTAAAGATGCCCTTCCCTGAGCCAGCTGGATCTGGTCCCTGGAGATCAATATTCTTGGTGATGGATCACAGTGTCTGGAACAATAGTGACACCTTAACACATGCCCAGATGTGGCCTACCCACACCTTTGTTTCTGCACCATTTTTCAGGAGTTTGCTGCTGAGTATGTTCCAAGAGCTTCCTCTTTACTGGCCTGCCCATGTCAGCCAACAATCGTTCCTTCTTCCAGCACCTCCATTTTGTCCTGACAGGAATCCCTGGATTAGAGAAAGAATATTATTGGATGGCATTCCCACTGGGTTTCATCTATGTTATTGCTGTCTTGGGCAATGGCATCATCATCTCTACCATCAAATCTGAATCATCCCTGCACATTCCCATGTACTACTTTCTGTGCATGTTGGCACTGGCAGACCTGGGTTTGGCCCTCTGCACTTTGCCTTCCATGCTAGGAATCTTCTGGTTTGATTATAAAGTCATTGCCTTTGATGCTTGCCTGGTTCAGATGTATTTCATTCATACTCTCTCAGCCATTGAGTCTGGTGTGCTGGTGGCCATGGCCTTTGACCGAGTTGTAGCCATACGGAACCCACTCAGATATGGCACCATCCTTACTGGTGGTGTAGTCTGCAGAATAGGGGCAGCTATCCTCACACGGGCTATCTGTGTGGTGTTTCCTGTGCCCTTTCTCATTAAGCGGCTCCCCTTCTACCGTTCCAATGTCCTATCCCATTCCTTTTGTCTCCACCAGGATGTCATGCGTCTTGCCTGTGCCAACACTCGTGTCAATAGCCTTTATGGACTTATTGCTGTCATTTTCACTAAAGGCTCAGATTCACTCTCTATCCTCCTTTCCTATGCATTTATCCTGCACACAGTATTGTCCATTGCATCTGGAGAGGGTCAGCTAAAAGCACTCAACACTTGTGTTTCCCATATCTGTGCTGTGCTCATCTTCTATGTGCCACTTATTGGTGTTTCTGTTATTCATCGCTTTGGTAAGCATCTATCCCCTCTGACTCATGCCCTCATGGCCAATGCCTACCTCCTTGTTCCCCCCGTACTAAACCCCATAGTCTATACTGTGAAGACCAAGGAGATTCGAAGGAAGATTATCCAGATGTTTACCCGGACAAAGATCACTGTGCAGGTTTAGGATCATCCATGTTAAGGATAAGGGAGGACAGATATCCACTCCTATAAATAACAATTATGACTATTAGCACTGTCAAGAATAAAGTTTTTTATTATTTTTCTAACATATCTTATTGTATGTTTTCTACAAGGAATGGAGACAATCAATAATCAACCAAGAAGTATTTACTAATTTCTCTCTCTGTAAAAGGCTCTATGCTAGTTAGGGCATACAACAAAAAATAAAACATTCCTTGCCCTAAATAAGCTTACATTCTGGGGGGGGGGAGGTGACATATACACATCAAATTCTACACAGAATAAATGCAAAATACGTGTTAGAGTTAAGCTAAAGGTATTAGCTGGGTTGAGAAAAGTCGGTGTGAATTGGCACCTGAATTGATCTTTGAAGGAAACAAGAAATTATGAGAATTACGTGAGGAAAGAGTTCAGTACACATATTGTGTTTGTGTATGTGTTTGTGTTTGTGTGTGTGTGTGTGTGTGTGTGTGTGTGTGAGACAGAGAGAGAGAGAGAGTGAGAGAGAGAGAGAGAGAGAGAGACAAGAGAGACAGAGACTGAGAGACAGAGAGATTATTCACATCCCAAACATATGTGCTTGGTGGAAGAGGGCATGAAGAGAATGAATTTATGTTTTCTTTTCACATAGGAGGAAAAAGCAGCAGGAACTCAAGATCCTTACTGTTTCGGCCTATGACCAAGTTTTCACAATGGTGCTCATTAATTCTGAACAGGGCACCTTCTCTACTTATTTCAGATTACCCATTCCATAAGAACAAAAGCACAAATGAATGCTGATGCATATTAAAGTCAACTTTAAAAACAAAATATATATTATATATACACATGTATACGTATATTACATACATACATACATACATATATACATGTATGTGTGTGTGTATATATAATTTATTACTGGTATGTAGTGAATTTCTACTATGCCCTGAATTAATTTGAATAACATAAAAGACCATTAAGGATCTCCTCAATCATAGAATTTGAGAGATGGAAAGGATCTCAGAGAACATGTAGTTCCACCTGCCTTCCCCTTAACAGCCTTGTTAAGAAGAAAAGGTACAAACATTAGAGACAAGTCCCAGGCAGTATAAAGTGATTTCTATGGTTTCAGTATAGAGTGTTTCTATGAGTACTACTGTATAGTAAAAGTGCTTTAGAACTTCAAGGTATGAAAGTAGTTATTAAGATCACACTTCATGTTAGAATCCATTCTAGGTGCTGAAGATGCAAAGACAAAAATGAAAAGTTGTCTCAAACAGTTTACATTCCTAGTGTGGGGGATATAACCTAAATACACAAGAAAATATGAAATCCATGCAGGCTGGATAAGATAAGGAAGGTTTCATGAGTAGCATGTTTGGGTCCTTTATACCTAGTCCTCACCTTATCCTCAGATTCTTCAATTCTTTATCCTTGAATCCCTCTCCCCTTGGCCAGTTGCTATTCCCACCCTGCTAACCTTCAATAGTGCATAGCTACAGTCATCCTCTTACTTTGCTCTTACTCCGTAATTTTAGAACAGTTATGATGCTGACAGTTCACATCAAAAGCCCTTAAACACGTCAGCCCATATCTCCATTGCTGCCTACGATTTCAACTTCACTTTTCCAGGAGTATGCTGGAGCCACCTCAAATTAACTCTCAAAAGCCAATTTTTAAATTTTTAGTGTCAGCAATTACACTTTGGAAATTAGGAAGCCATAAAAAACACAACTTGATACATTGTTTTATTTATTGTCTAAACTTAAGAAAATGATGGATAAAATTTAATAATGATTAAACTTAAAAGTGTACAGAGATTTATCAGAAAGAAAGTTGTTAAACATTTTCCAGCTCACCGCTGCTTATCTTTTTAGGGCATAAGAATCATACCAAATCCCTTACATACTCCCTAAAACCTAAAAACCTAATTTATCCTGAACTTTTGCCTCCCTTTTTTCCACAATACTATAATCTTTGCAACAAATGAGGCTTTGAAATTCAAAGTTATCTTTGCTTCTTCTCTCTTTCTTAGCCCCATACTCAGTTAGTTAAAAATTCCAGGCCAATCAAAGGATCACCTAGCCTGTACTTGAACATCACCAATGATTGGGAATTCACTATCTGTTAAAGCAAGCTGTTCCACTTTGGGGCAACTATAATACTTACTAAGTTTTACTTTATGTGGAAATCACAATCTTCCTGTTACTTTCACACTTTCATACTTTGCTTCTAGTTCTGCCTTGTAGTGGGAGGTAGAACAAGATCTATCCAGTCTTCACTTTTATACTTAGTCAAATATCCTAGATGAAGAAACTTCTTTACCAATGCATATTTGCATCTTCTCGGCACAATATAGCCCCAGAATGCTCCCCAGAGCACTGAGAGGCAGAACTGAAACCCACCTCTTTCTAATTTTCGGACCAGCTCTCTACTCAGTGTTTTTGGACAATGGTTAGAGTATTGGGGCCTAGAGTCAGGAACATCTGAATACAAATTCAACCTTAGACATCAGCTGTGTTCTCCTGGGTAAGTAACTTAAACCTCTTTTTGCTTCCATTTCTTCAATGGTAAAATGGAGATAATAAGAGAATCTACATTGCAGAGTTGCTGTGCACATCAAATGAGATAATATTGCTAAGTGCTGAGAATAGTGGCTGGCACATAGTAGGAACTATATAAATGTTTATTCCTGCTCCCATTAAACCAAGAAGTTTTCTTAATATATGGCTTTTCATTCATCCATTCATTCATTCACCTATTCAGCAGGCTATGATTCTATTAATTTATTTTGGCTTCCATGTACTTCTTGAATTGTGGATGAAGAATTCACTTTTAAAAAGTTAATTTAAACATCAAAAGATGTAGCAAATATTTAAATCTTATAGGATGTAATTAGTACTGTCATTCCCAAACAAATCCTCAATAGATTTATGCTATTTGAAAAGCTGTTTTCTTATAGACAAAACTTAATGCCATTAAATATGTATTTTATAGCTGCCTATGATTGAGTAAGAACTAAGGTTAGCGATGACATGTCTGTAGTGATGGAGTTCACTGTCTGTCAAAAGACTATATCACATTGGGTGGGACCAAGATGTCAGAGTGAAAGCAGTGACTTGCTTGAGCTCTCCCCCAAACCCCTCCAAATACCTATAAAAATGGCTTTAAACAAATTCTAAAGCAGCACACCCCACAAAAAGACAGAGTGAAATAAATTTCCAGCCCAAGACAACCTGGATGGTTGATCAGAAAAATATATTGTGCCGGCTTGGTAGAGGAGCACAGTTCAGCATGGGCGCCCAGGCTGCAGTGAACCTGGAGCAGGCCTCAGAGGACTGAATCAAGGGCAGCTGTGGTGGATTCCAGACCTCTCAACCCAAAAATGCCAAACACAACTTAGAAGGTCCATGGAAGAAGTCTGTTTCTGTGGTGAGAGAGAAGATGGATCTCAGCCCCAGTTCCCTGAGGTGGTAGCTGCCCCCTGAGCTTCTGGCGCATAGACTGAGGGGGAATTGAGTGGCTGATCAGAGGGGGATTGCATGGATCTCTCTGCTAGTGCAGGATTCTGTTGCTTTGCCCGTGCCTGGATCTGGGTCACAGTTCTAAAGGGTGGTCCTGGGGTAAGGAGTGCTGGCGTAGTGGAGCTTGTAGTGGCTGTAAAGAGAAAATCCTCCTCACAGTTCCAAGACAGAAAAGAGTGCTTGTGGTCACTCATAGAGCAGAGCATAGGCCAGGAAAGGAGTAAACACTTTGCCCTTCATCATATCACCTTGGAAGAACTGAAAATTTACAGGCCCCTAGAAGTATATCTGAAAACAGCTATATAAACCCTGAAGCTTTGGACAGTACATTCTCCACATTGGAAGCAGACCTCTACCATAATAGAGTTTAACTCAAGCAATTGGCTGGGATAATGAGCAAACCTTGCAAGAAGTGTCAGACCATAAAATCTTTTTTTGGTAACGAAGATCAAAGCATACAACCAGAAGAAGACACAACAAAGTCAAAGCTCATATGTCCAAAGCCTCCAAGAAAAATATGAATCAGTCCCAGGTCTTGGAAGAGCTCAAAAAGGATTTTGAGAAGCAAGAAAGAGAAGTAGAGGAAAAACTGGGAAGAGAAATGAGAGTGATGCAAGAAAATCATGAAAAACAAGTCAACAGCTTCTTCTTAAAGGAGACCCAAAAAATACTGAAGAAGATAACACCTTAAAAAATAGCCTAATCCAAATGGCAAAAGAGGTCCAAAAAGCCAATGAGAAGAAGAATGCCCTAAAAAGCAAAATTAGCCCAATGGAAAAGGAAGTCCAAAAGCTTACTGAAGAAAATACTTCCTTAAAAATGAGAGTATACCAATTGGAAGCTAGTGACTTTATGAGAAATCAAGACACTGTAAAACAAATCCAAGAGAATGAAAAATTAGAAAACAATGTGAAATATCTCATTGGAAAAACAACTGACTTGGAAAATAGATCCAGGAGAAAGAATTTAAAAATTATTGGACTATCAGAAAGCCATGATCAAAAAAAAAAAGAGTCTAGACATCATCTTTCAAGAAATTATCAAGGAAAACTGCCCTGATATTTTAGAATGAGGGCAAAATAGAAATTGAAAGAATCCACCTATCTCCTCCTGAAAAAGATCCCCAAAGGAAAACTCCTAGGAATATTGTGGCCAAATTCCAGAGTTCCCAGGTCAAGGAGAAAATATTACAAGCAGCCAGAAAGAAACAATTCAAGTATTGTGGAAACACAATCAGGATAACACAAGATTTAGCAGCTTCTACATTAAGGAACCAGAGGGCATGGAATATAATATTCCAGAGGGCAAAGGAGATAGGATTACAACCAAGACACTACCCAGCAAAACTGAGTATAATCCTGCAGGGGAAAAAAATGGTAATTCAGTGAAATAGAGGACTTTCAAGCATTCCTGATGAAAAGATCAGAGCTGAATAGAAAATTTGACTTTCAAATACAAGATTCAAGTGGAACATAAA